GGGGCTTCTGCGACCCCTGGAATCAACGAATCGACACCGAATGTGTAATCACTTCCGATGGGTTTTTCGGGGAACAGATTCTAGATGTTGGTGCCTATTTGGAAGGACCAAACACCATGCCGTGCATGGCGCTGGAAAGAATGACGCCAGCGATACAGCGGGAGCACGATTCGGAACGAGCGGAAGCGCGGAAATGAGGCCAGCGCTGCAACGGAAGCACGATTCGAAACGAGCGGAAGCGCGGAAATGAGGCCAACGCTGCAACGGGAACACGATTCGGAACGAGCGGTAGCCGGAAAATGAGGCCAGCGCTTCAGCGAGAGCAGCATGTGGACAAAACAACCAAGCGAACACTCAACTCCAGGGAATCCTGTGTACAAAACCAATACGAGGAGGGGGGCCGGGCATTTCCCGGACGCCACCACGGAAGAGTGGAGAGTAGTTTTCGTATTGTTCAAGTGTGGAGGAGGAGGAGGAGAAAGAGGAGGAGGAGGAGGAGGAGGAGGAGGAAGACGAGGAGCAGAAGGAGGAGGGGGAGAGGAGGATCTACATCGGCACATGGGGTCCGCTGGGGGCGCTCTTCGGTGTCATGAGGGCGATCCTCGGGCACAAGAGTTGCACCGCTTCTGCAGCGGGAAAAAAGGACTTTCAAAACGCCCCACACTGACACCGCGCAAAGTGGCCTCCAGTCTTGCACTCTGGGAACATAAAACAACAACCACAACAACAACAACAGCACCAACAACAACAACAGCAACAGCAGCTGCAACAGCAACAGCAACAGCAACAGCAACAGCAACAACCACAACCACAACCACAACCACAACCACAACCACAACCACCACCACGACCACAACCACAACCACAACCACAACCACAACAACAACCACAACAACCACAACAACAACAACAACAGCAGCAGCAGCAGCAGCAACAGCAACAGCAACAGCAACAGCAGCAGCAACAACAACAACAACAACAACAACAACAACAGCAACAGCAACAACAACAACAACAACAACAACAACAATTACTAGCACGTGGGGACACTCCGTTCTCACCAGTGCCAGGGTTTTCATAGGAGGCGGGCAATACCCCCACTTTGTGGGGGGGCCGGTTCAAGCTCTACCAAATTTCCAAACGACTCTTCGCCACCACCCACACCCAGCTTCCCGCCCTATGACGTTCGGACACTTCACTTCGTGGCATGCGGACGACCGTGGCTACTATTCAGGGCCCCGCGGCCGACGACGACGGCGTGCGCGCGCGAAGAAAAAACGAATGTGTCCCGCATGGTATTATTTGACAGGGATGATGGCCCTGGCAGGTGCGCAACCGTTGTTGCAGAAGTTCGAAAAAGTTGCTCGCAAAAGCCCGTTTGACAGAAATGTTTAAAAAGTGTTGGGTTTCCTACGAATCCGCAAGAGCGCGCGGGATGAAATTTTGACATTTTTTTTTAAAAACCATTGGTTTTTTGATGTTTTTATGTTAAAATCGCTACGAAAACTAAGGTTTTGGAAGGATTTCGTCTTGCGCGCGCGAATGTCCACTTTACCTTATTTTTTGCAAGGGATTCTTGAAGTTTGGTTATGTTAGAACAAGAAATGTCCACTTTAGCTTATTTTTTGCAAGGGAAAGCGGGCCGTAACAAAACAACCGGATCCGGACCAACCCGTTTTGCCTGAGACTTCCTCACGAAAATGATGAAAATGTGGCTGCGGCCTAGGCGCGGCGGGGGGGCCATGCACCAGGGGTCCCAACAATAATTATTCTTTAGAAGAAATAATGTTCAACAACAACAACACCAACACCAACAACAACAACAACAACAACACCAACAACAACAACAACAAACACAACACAAACAACAAGAACAATCCATACAGCTGCTTTGCCCCCATCAGGTCCCGAGATCGCACTACGGAGTCCCCAAGATGAGGAGGAGGAGGAGGAGAAGGAACAACAGGAGGAGGAAAAGGAGGAGAAGGAGGATAGCATAACCTGCACAAGAAGCACACAAAAGAGGGGAAGGGGAAGGAACAGGAAAAGGAGGAGGAGGAGGAGGATAATCAGAAACTCAAGGAGAAGGAGGAGGAAGGGAGGGAGGGGGGAGTGAGGGGCGAAGGGAGAAGGAGAGGAGGAGGAGGAGGAGGAGGAGGAGGAGAAGGAGGAAAGGTAAAGGAGGGAGAAGAGGATGGGGGGGGAGGGAGACAGACACTGTGGGCCTGAGGACCTCACAGCCTGCCTCTAGAGAACTGGGCGAGGACGAGGGAGAGGATGGACGACGAAGAGGAGGGAGCGGAGGAGGAAGGGGGGTGGAGGGGAGGACTGGGAGGAGGAGGAGGGTGGGGGGAGGCGGGAGAAGGAGGGAGGGGCAAGTGGGAAGGAGGGATGAGGAGGTGGAAGAGCAACACCAGGGAGAGGAGGGGAGGGAGGACGGCGAGGGAGCGAGGGAGCGAGGGAGGACGAGGGACGGCACCGTTCGGCGCCAGTGGCAGTTCTGGCGCCCGCCCGCCCCGGTACCGCGCTGGGGCACGGGCGCCTCGCCCACCGCATGCCTTGCTTCCTCCTCCTCCTCCTCCTCCTCCGCCTCCTCCCCTTCCTCCTCCTCAGCCATTTTGCGCCGGAGCGTCCTTTTGCCTGAGGAGGCCGCGCGGGTGTACCCAGTCATGGAAGACTCCCTCAAGCCGCAGGTGGAAGCGCTTCAGGAGCGCGTCGACCAAAATCAGGCGAAGCTGGAGACCAAGGTGCCGCGCTGCTTCACAAGAGTGCCGTGTGGTGCGTGACCGCAAGCGAGACGCGGAGCAACGGGACAAGTGCAAGGGCCACGTCGAGGAGCTGAAAGCTGACGTGGCCAAAGCACAGGAGAAGCTGCAGACGGAGCGCTCCAACCTCGACCGCTACGAGCAGAAGCTGGACACCCTTAATTAGAGGATCAGCGAGCTGTCGGTGCCAGCCCCGGGGAAAGGCTGGTCAGCGGCGGTGGCCTTCTTGGAGCAGACAGACAAGTTGAGGAGGAAAAGAAACACACAGACACAATTAATCCTCGATTCCCCCAAAAATATGCGAAATATGGGAAGTGGGGGGGAAGACAAAAACCCAGAAAATATGGGAAAAATATGGGGCATATTTTTATTTGTGTGTATCTATTTGTGTGTTCTGGGGCCCCTTTACAAGTGCCCGGCCGAGGGGCCCAATCAGCAGGAGGACGCGAGGCTCCACGAGGCCTTGGCGCCCGCCCTGCGGCAGCAGACCGCCGAGAAGGAGCGGACTGCGCAGGCAGAGGCTGCCAAGAATGAAGGGGAACTGGGACACACAAATAAATACACACAAATAAAAATATCCCCCATATTTTCCAATATTTTCAGGGTTTCTGTCTTCCCCCCCACTGCCCATATTTTCCCATATTTTCTGGGGGATCGAGGATTAATTGTGTCTGTGTGTTTCTTTCCCTCCTGAAAGAAAGCTGAGGCAGAGGCCGCGTTTGCGGCCAAGGAGGCCCGCGAGCGCGAGGAACGCGACTCGGCCAGCCAGGGCGGCCCCAAGAAGCGCCACTTGGACACCGAGTCCAAGGAGGACCCCCTGAAGTTCGAAGCAGGCAGCTCCGAGGAGGCCATCGCCAAGGTGCTCACCACCGGCGGCGTCACTCCTGAGCAGGCTGCTAAATTTGCTGGCTCTATGAAGCTGCTGCTCGACGGCCTGGAGTCGGGACACACGCTCGCCATCAGCAAGGCACAGTAGATCGCGAAGCGGGCTTAGCAGAGTCAAAGCCAGCCATATTTTCTACACGGTGAACGCCAACACGGTGGGCTCCCTCTAGCGCATCATGAACGACATCTAAAAGGTCACTCCCGCGCCCATCACTCTGGTGCAGGAGCTGCGGGCAAGCCAGGCCAAGTTGGGCATGTTCTTAGCGACCATGAGCAAGAGGGGCTGGCGCATCGGTTGCGCACCCAGTGCGAAGACAGAGGAAGGGTGGAGTGCAGGTGTGCTGATTGCCACAGCCAGTAGTCGTGGGCTGGACTACGCGATTCGCGGCATCAACACGTGGGACATCTCACCCGCTGGCAACTAGGTGCGCCTGACGATGGAATGGCTGAGCGCCGTAGAAAAGCAGGGCGTGCCGTGCGGCCCCGTGTACTTGTGGCACAGCGAGGGCCTGACGCGCAGGAACGAGCTCATCCTCCAGAAGTGGGCCAGCGTTGCGATGTCGACCCACCACGACTGGATCCTGGGCGGCGACTTCAACATGGAGCCCGCGGCGCTGCGAGCTTCGGGGCTGCTGGGGAAAATGCAGGGAGTCATCATCCACGACCGGCAGAAGGGCACGTGCGAGCGGGGCGACGGCACCAGGTCCGTCCGCGACAACTTCGTCGTCTCCAAGAGCCTGGTCCTCGGGCCCATGGATGCGCAGGTGCAGGAGGGCTTCAACATCACATCATCAGCCCCCACCTGCCGGTTGCGGCTGACCATGACCAAGCGGACAAACGAGGACCGAAAAATCATCGCGCTGCAGAAACCTCAGCGAATGCCGCTGGTGCTCCCGACCGGCTGCCCAGGGCCGCCAGTGGTGTGGCCGAGGCCGCTGGCGAGCCACGGGCGGCACGCGCAATCTGCGGTGGGCGCGCGCTGGAGCGAGCTGGGCGTGGCCTACGAGCTGCGCCTGAACCGCTACTTCAACTACGATGCGGAGGGCTCCGGGAGGGCCTCAGCAGCAGGCAGGGGCACTTCAATGCGGCAAAGTACACCCTGCGAAATGCTTAAGAAATCATGGGTTAAGAAATTCATAATCTCAGAACTTGAATAAAAACCCAACATTGTTATTAAAATCTTAGGGTTTACATGGAAACGTTAGGAAACGTTCCCCGACCCCCCCCCCACTGGAAATCGAGGATAAATTTGGGCCTTCGGGTTGGGTTGGGGTGGTTTGGTGGGTGGCTGGCACACCGGCTGAGACGCATTCACAAGCTGGTCAAGCTCTGGTGGCCGCCCAAGACGAGGCCGACAGGATCTCGCGGACCATCTTGAGCCACACAATCATCATGCCGCTGCTGCACGTGCAGGAGGAGAGACAGCACGACGAGCCAGACGCCCCCGACGATGGCCATGAAGACGCGGAGCAGCAGCTGACGTCAGAGGGCGAAACAAACCCTGGCTTCCCGCGGGAGGAGGCGGAATTGGTAGAGGGTCGCCTCACGGCTGGAGCGCCACCCCTTGCGGGTCAGCTGCTGACGTGGGACACCGTGCGGTGGCCCGACGACCCGATCAACACCGTCGGCGCCTTCGACGTCGACGCGATGGACGACAAGGGGCTGCGCTACATCGACTGCATCGCCACATTGTTGGACCTGGGCAGTCGGCGCAGCTGGCGAGCGGCACAGCGCGCTTCGGCAGAGAGCTGGCGGCAGTGGGTGCGCACCAAGGGGCAAAACAGTGCGGGCGCCCTTCACCGCTGGACGACGCCGCCAGTGCAGTGGCAGCCGCAAGCCACGGCGGCCGACCCCGTCGCGCGCCCCAGCGCGGGGGGCCGACCAAGCGTCTCAAATATACCGAATTCGGCCCAAATCGGTGCACTTCAGACGGGCGTTCACGGCAAAGCCCAGGTGCCCCTGGCGGGGGCCGCCGGGAACGGGTCGTCAGCCGCCGCAGAGCTGTCGGCCGCCCTGGACGACCACGAGCTGGTGCACCCCTAAGCAGCGGCAGACAGCGCCCTGGCCGGCTGGGAGGCTATCTGGGGCGACGAGCTGGACGAGCAGGCGCCCTGGATGCAGACCCCCTCGGACCTCGAGCTCGAGGAGTACCGCCCGACGCCCGTCACCCCGCAGCAGGTGCTCGAGAGCGGGGGGCGCTTCCGCCCCAAGACGGGCCTCGGGGAGTCGGACTGGCACCCGCGGCTCTGGCAGCGCGGCGGACATCCAGGAGCAGCGCGAGTGGCAAGCGTGCTCAACGCGGTGGAAGCAGAAGCGGGGGCCCCCTGGCCAACGGCCAACCGCCCAAGCCACCATCCTGTCTTGCCTCCTCGCCGGGGCTTTCGGGGCCTCGGGTTGCTTCCCGAGCTCGCGCGGCTGTGGGAGACCATCCGCGTGCCGTGCGCCAGGCAGCGGGAGCAGGCGCAGCGCGGCGAGCCTATGACTGGACCGCCAAGGGTCGCTCGAGCGAGAGGGCCGCGTCGGTGCAGGCGCTGTTCTGCGAGGCCGCCGTGGCTCAGGACCTCGAGTACGCGGTCACATACTTCTACCTGGTGAAGTGCTTCGAGTACGTGACGCAGGGCTCCACTGAGGCTTCTACCGCGTCGCGTTGAAGGTCGTCCCCTGGATCTACGCGATGGCGCGGAGGATCGTCCTGGACGGCAGCTAGCAGCTACACCGGGGGCAGGCGCTGGGGCAGCGGCATAGTCGCGGGCAGCCGCTTCGCACACTTCTGCCTCAAGATGGTCATGCTCATGGAACTTAACGGGGTGGTGACAGCCTTCCCGTGGGCCGACACATGCCTCTTCTTCGACGACCTGGCGGTGGCGACGAAGGGGCTCAAGGAGTTCGCGCAGTACTGGCACCCGCTCCTCCTCCAAGCGCTGATCGACATGTTCGAGGCGACCTTGGACATGGTGGTCTCCCAGGGCGAGCAGGGAAAGACGGTCGCGATGGCCTCGACCACCCCGCTGCATGACGAATTCACCAGGCGCATCCGCGCTTTGGGGGCGCGCATGGCCAAAGAGAAAAAGCACCTGGGCGCCACCGGGCAGCGGGGCGACGTCGCCGGGTGGGCGCTTTCAGCAAGAGGGCGCTCAAGTTCGCAGCACGGCGGGGGCGCATCGCGCGCGTCAGGCGCGCAGGCGGGCCAGCCGCTAAGATCGTGCGCCAGGCCAAGGTCCCTTCGCTCCACTGCGGCGTGCAGGTTATGGGCGTGGCAGATACCAAACTCGGCGAGCTGCGGCAGTCGGTCGCGACCTCGCTCCAGGGCAACACCAAAGGCAGATCTACGTTCCTCGCCCTGCTGGCGGACGACGTGGACCCAGGCGCGCTTGCCAACTCGGCGCCGATTCTGGCCTGGGCGCAGGCGTGGCGGGAGACTGACAGCCAGCCAGAGCTCACCCCCGAGCTGCAGGCGGCATGGAAGAGGTGCGTGCTGCGAGTGGGGCGCGTCAAGTCCCCCTGGCAGCTGGTACGAGGGCCCGCCGGGGCTTTCGTGGCGACCGTGCGCAGGCTGGGCTGGATGACGCAGGCGGCGCACTCCATCACCATCGGGGCGGAGGTGCTGGACTCGCGGGTCGCGCCGCTCCGCGCTTCGCAACACTACGTCAAGGGGGCCAACGAGCAGGGCCTCAAGGACGCCTGGCTGGTGAAGTGGGGCGACAAGCTGGGCCTGCAGTCCGTGTTCGTGGAGCCCGCGCGGGCGCTCCTCAGGCGCCCCCTGCGCGGACGCTTGACGCAGGCGCACCAGACGCGCGTTTGCACCCTCCGGCGCGGCGGCACGTGGCCGCAGCTGCACCTTTTCCAGAAGGGCGCGGCGGAGAACGACACCTGCCAGGCCTGCCGGGGCGCGCGAGGGACCGACCGGCATCGGACCTTCGAGCGCCCCGCGCGCGAGGGCCACCGCCGCGAGGTGCAGGGGCACCACATCATGCAGCGGGGCGCCAACCCCCGGACAGGCACGGAGCAGCTCTGGGGCCGTGGGTCGGCCAACGACCCCGCGGTGGAGTTCGGGCTGTGGGGCTTGCCATCGATGGACGCCTTCCTGGTCCACGGCGAGTCCGACGGCTGCGTCACGGGCGATGTTTACACCGACGGCAGCCTGCTGTACGGCAGCTCCGCGGCTCTGCGGCGAGGAGGCTGGTCGTTCGTGCAGTTGGCGCCCGACATGAAACTGCGTTTCGCCTGCTACGGGCCCCAGCCTGGGGCGCACCCAGCCTGGGGCGCAATGGCAGCAGGCGATTTCCCGAAGTGAATTGGAGGCAGTTCGGCGCGTGCTGGAGGTGGCCTGCCCGCCGCTCACCATCTGGACCGACTGCCAGGGCTTTCTCGACGTCTTCGCGCGCGGCCCAGCCTGGGCCGAGAGGCCGAGCACGATGCATCCTGAGACGTGGAGCCGCAACTGGGCCCTGATCGCCGAGAGCGGTGGCGTCGGCCCGAGGGGGATTCGGTTGCAGAAGGCGAAGGCGCACGCGGCGCGGGCCCAGCGTCAAGTCATGGGCCGCGCGCAGTTGGCTGGAAATACGTATGCTGATCAGAACGCCAAGCTACAAGAGCCAAGCAGCACGAGTATGCAGCCTGGCAGCGAGAAGCGTATATTCAACGATACAAACTCGTTTCGGATATGTTGGAATTTTGCGCTCACGTCGGGGTTCTCGGCCATGGGCTCGTCGACACGTCCGAGGGTTCGGAACCGCGCAGAGCGGCTCCGAGCCAGTCTCCCGTGCCCCCCAACCCCGTAGCCTAGTGGGGGAGTGGAGGCGCCTGCGGGATTTCTGCCGCCGCCACCTGGCCTTCCTCTGCCTTCTCGGGCCGATCTGGACGGGGACGGAGGTAAGATAGAGCTAGCCCGCGCCAGAGGCCACCGTCTCGTGAGCCTCCCAAGAGTAGTACTCTGCCGTCGGTGTGCTAGGCACGTCCACGACAGGTGGCTCGGTCTTCTGTCTCGGTGTTCTGGGGGCGATCCTTGGGATATCTCTGGGCGGTTGAATCAGTTCGGGGAAGGGCGAAACCCGACCACCACCCGCCTGTTCTGATGCAGCCCCGTGTCGCCCAGGAGAGACCTGGGGGATGGTGCTGTCTCGTCGTCGTCGGTTTCGCTCTCTTGCTCATGTCACGGCAGATCAGGGTAGCAGAATCCTCGTAGCAGAATCGTCCTCCTTCATTCATTAGGGATGCTCCTTCCCTCTGTCCCCTGACTGTGTCCGGGCAATGCTCTGCCCTCTCCGCGCAGTGCCTTTTCTACACACAAGATTTCAAGTACTCCTTTATTGGAGGGCGTTTTGTAACATGATTGCATCCGGTGTTGAAAAAAGAATGTTCCCGTTGCACCGTGGGCCTCGTGTTCGGATCCGCGCTTTGCTCCCGCCAGAATCTGCCGCCCGAGCCCGTCATACTCTCTCTCTCTCTCGCGACCCGTGCGCCCCGCCAGATGTCGCCTGACGCCTCTGTGCTCACTCCTGCGACCCACGACCCTCCTCGAAATGACGCGTGGAGAAGAGAATGGGACGAACGCGCCAGCGACGGCAGGAGCGGCACGTGGAGAGAAGGGAGACACTGCTCCCGGTCGGGCTGAACTGGCCCCCCAAAAGCTGCATGCAAATGCGGGTTCCTGTACAATTTCGCAAGAAGTGAATCGAACGCGTCACCTCTGCCCACGTCCCTCCCCATCTGCCCCCCCCCCATCCCCTCCCCAGGACCTCTCAGCGTGCTCGTCATCCGCTCCCCATCTTCCCGTCCTGTCCCCTGGTGCGCGCACACCTGGGGCGGCCAGTGGTGGGTCGAGGTGCAGACAGCGCAACCTGCATCCCACGAGCACGCATGCTGTCAAACGCGGTCATGCGCGTGAGAGGCAGGAACAATCAGCATCAAATCGGGTCATCGGAGAATGTACGAGCATCGAATCATGCTGCATCGGCTCTGAGACGACACCTGATCGAAACGACTGCGCCGGGAAACACAATTAGGCTGTGTCAACATTGGGCCGCATCTGGTCGCCGGGAAATCGAAGTCGAGCCCAATCGAGCCGGCTGGAATCGACATCGAGGCGCACCGATCAGATCGAAAAGAACCCTGGAAGAAAGGGGGCGCGGGCTGAAACGCTGGGAACCTCCGTGGTCTTGCCGTCATCGTGGAGGATGATGTGAATGGGCACCTTGATGTCGGGTGCACCCTGGCCACACATGCGGCGGCAACTGTTGCGCACGACGCATGTGCGCAAGCATACAATAATAGGGCTCGACCCGAAAAGTCGACGTCGTGCGAGCGTGTAGCTCTACAGCCCAACAGACAGGGGGATTGGATCATCAATAGAAGAGTGGGCATGACCAGGGATGGCAACAAGCATCGAGACAGCAGGGAGATGTCAGCATCCCTTGGGTGACCGTGAATCGCACCATAGCGTTCCAGAACGCTCTGTCACGGCCGCGGCGCGCGATGCATCAGCCAGACCCGCCAGCTCTCAGAGACTCCCGACTGACCCTCATCCTGCCTTCGCCCTGAGTTGGCAGGGGCAAGTACTATATGCCTCCTGCCCTACAGCAACTCCGGGCCGCGGGGCGGGGATGTATCCACCTCCACCGTCTGCGGAACCGACGTCCTGGGACGTCAAGGGGCGGTGCACATGGATCTATCCGGGCCCCAGGGGGATTCGCGCCGGCGCCGCCTGGAACTCTTAGGCTTAGGTCGGGCCTGTCCCCCTACGGGCGGATTTTTGAACGGATGAATTTCGAATAGTAAAAAAAATAACAAATAGAAAACAAATATATTCAAAGTCGCCCCCATACTATGTTTTTAAAACTATTTTTGAAGATGCCTCCTGTAGAGGGACATGCCCGACTTCATCTTAGGCGTTCCTAGGCCTTCCCAGACGACGAGGGCTGACCAATCCCCGATATCGCCAGGGGGCAAAAGCAAAACTCCCCAGTCGAAGGCCAGAAAAGGCCTGGAGAACGCGGGGGCTCACGCCACAAACTCCACATCCACCAGGCGCCCTGACTGCTTCCTTCTGCCATCAAAGCTGCGCACCACTGGCTCCACGACGTGGGACTGAGAATCGAGGGGCCCAAGGACACACAAATACATACACACAAGAATCCCAAGATTCCCCACGCTTTCCCATGTATTTTCTGGATGTTCGTCTTCCCCCCCCCCCCCACACTTCCCTTACTTTCCCATCTTTTCTGGGGGATCGACGACTAATTGTGTCTGTGTGTTTTTTTCCTCGTGAATAAGCGCAGCGCGCCGCTGGCTCCACGACGTGGGACTGAAGACCGCCGGGCCCCGCCAGGCAAGCCGAGAACGCCACACGAGACGCCGTCAAGAGCGCAGGCGCCGCTGGGGGCAGGAGAAAACACGGGGACTGCAGCGGGCGGCAGGCGGGCGGCCGCGGGGAGGCACCGCCCTCCCAAGCTCGGGGAGACGCGAGACTCGGGTGCGGGAGACTCGGGCGGTGCCACATGTTAGGCCACCGGCGGCGGTTGCCAGCCGCGCGCAGGACCGCTCCCTCCCCCAGGGCCGAGGGCTGGGAAGAGCACACGGAAGCACAAGCGCCATCGCTCGGAGGTCCGAAAGCTCGATGTATGTGCACTTAATATTCTCTTCGAAGAATTGGCGACGCGCAGAGGGGGTACACCCTGCGAAATGCTTAAGAAATCATGGGTTAAGAAATTCATAGTCTCAGAACTTCAATAAAAACCCAAAATTCCTATTCAAATCTTAAGATTTACATTGAAACGTTAAGAATAATCGAGACTCTGGCCGAAAACTTAGGTTTTCTTAAGCATCGCCTAAGGTGTAGGGGGAGGGGGGAAGGCTTCTTAGAAGGAGGCTGTTTCTTAGAAGGCGCCGGCCTTACATCTTATAGACAAGGCCCGCGCCTTCTAAGTGGCCCGTCCACAGGAAACCTTCCACGAGAAACCCAACCCTGAGGCCCCCGGACGTCACTGGCTTTTGCAGTGGGGAAGTGGCGCGAGAAAAACCGTCGAAACCCAAGAAGCCCACGGCAATCTGGCGGCGCGCACAGGGGGGTAGGGTAGGGGGAGGGGGGAATGCTGCTTAGAAGCACCCCTGCTTCTTAGAAGGCGTGGGCCTTGTCTGCAGATGTAGGGCTGGCGCCTTCTAAGAAGCAGCCGCCTTCTAAGAAGCCTTACCCCCTCCCCCTGCCCCCCTTCTGCGCGCCGCCAGGCATCCTGGAGGCAAGCAGGGTGTTTCTTAGCACGAGCCTCCACTCACTGGCCCAGACGGGGGGGGGGACAATGATTTGGAGTCCCGAAACGGTGCGGTGACAGACCGTGCGGTGACCTCGGAACCCCAAGAGACCTCACCGCACGGTCCAAAACCGTGCGGTGACCCCGAATCCCCACCGACTCACCGCCCGGTGTGGTCACCACCCCGTTTTGGGGCCCCCGAGACCTGGAATCGACGATACATCGCCGGTAGGCCCTGGGCACCTTGGGGCACTCAGGCACGGGTCGGCGAGGAGCGGGCGATCGGTGATGGGCCCAGGGGCACACAAACAGATAAATACAAATCCCAGGTTTCCCCATACTTCCCCATATGTTCTGGAATTTCGTCTTCTCCCTAGCTTCCCATCTTTTCCTATATTTTCCTGGAGACGATGAATTGTGTCTGTGATTTTCCCCTTCCTGCCTCACAATGCCGTGTTGTTTTCGGGCCATATCTCGGCTCGATCCGGACGCCCCCTAGCGCTGCTGGCGAGGCGTAGTCGAATGTCTTCCCTTGGCTGGAAAGCCGACGAGAACCGACGAGAACGTCTGAAACGCTCGAACCTCGAAGCCTTTCGGCCCCACCCCCGAGAACCTGCTGACCCTGGTCAATCCAGACCCGGGTCAGTCGAGCCTTGCAGGATCCTGCAAGATCCTGCAGGATCCTGCACCCAAGCCCGGGTCAATGCGACCCTGGCCCTGCAGGATCCAGCAAGATCCTGCAGGATCTTGCACCCAAGCCCGGGTCAATGCGACCCTGGAGCTGCAGGCTCCTGCAAGATCCGGCGCTCTGGCTGACCCCTATCCGCATTGACCCCCGTCTCTTGCGCCCCGACACCCCCACTGCAGGCGGGCGCCGGCGAAGCAGGGCGCCGGCGGGAGAGGGGCGGCGGGACGCAGGCTAGACCTGCGACGTGCGGTGGCTCTTGGCGCACGGCTGACCCACGGGGCTGTCTGGACCGTTGCCCCAGAATTTGGAGTCCCGAAACGGTGCGGTGACACTCGAAATCCCCCAAGCCCTCACCGCATG